TGGATGTGACTCCGTTACAGTTAACTCGAGTTCCTAAATAAAAAAGGGAAAACTGTCCTGTTTCACATTCCCAGAAGCCAGAGACTTAGAAACCGAGCACAGATTTCCTGCTGGACAACGAGGCACTGCTGTCTTGTGGCAACCTGTTTTTGAAGTACAACGTTGTTAGATAACGTGATTACAGCTGATGATACAAATTTATTTTCTCTTGCTCATTTGAAACACTGATTGAGTGAAAAACAGTTTAAAGGCTTACAGGCTTCTTCTGTTGAGTTTTTTTAATTTGAATTTCAAGTAAGAAAATATCAAGGTTTTTCCAAGACTTGGAAGAATTAATTCCCTTTTTTTTTACTGCACAATACACTAACTTTAGACTTCGCTGTACACTTTTTCTCCTTCCTCTACAGTAACAGTCCATGTGTTGTTGTTTGGAAGTATAAACTATGGTAGCATAAATAACTTCACTTGGGAGGAATGTGACCTTTTCATTGGGATGCATTTTTTTTGTAATATATAGCATGAAAGGAAAATTGATCTTAAGGGTAGATGTACCTTATTTGTCTTAATCCATTGGCTGGGCCCGTTTGCACTGAAGCACTAATCCCAAACCTAATGATGTCATGTCCTTCTTAAGTAGGTACTGCATTACCTTTTACTAGCTCTGCTGATTTGTTCTTCTTTTTAAAGGGTGGCATAACAACAAGTGTTTTCTTTAGAAATTTTGTCAGTTTAAATGAGACACACAATACTAAGGTTGTAGGGGTTTTTTGGATCAGGTTTTGTATTGCTATGGACTTGTTATTGCTTCTTATGCACTTTTGCAGAAATATTTTTTAAATGATCGAGAGGAAGGTATATTTTCATCCACCTTAGGAAAAGTCTAACAATGTAGAGGTAGCTCTGCTGACAAACAGCATAATACCATCTACCATCTGATGTAGTGTGTTCCTTTAAAGCAAGTCTTTTCTGTCCTATGGCAGGAAAATGGAATAAAATAAAGAATAATACATTTTCATTTCCTTGCTTTGACCTGCATGAATAATGGACACACTTTGCATGTTCTTTTCCCTCCCTACTTCATATTTTGTTCTGGTGAACAGATCATTAATGTTTATTTTTGTCCCATTTTGTGTTTGCTTGACTTTAGCTATTAAAAATAATCATCATGACACAGCTGAGCCATGTCCTTCAACACTCTTGAGCTTCCTGGGTTTTCAAATCACAAATGAAAGCAAGCAGTATATTTCAGAAAGTTCTGGCACAGTTGTGCATGGTTGCCATGAAGAAACACTGTTCTTTTTGCATTGACATGTTGGATGTAAAGTCAATAATGAGTTAAGATACAAAGACTCGAGCATTTTGGTGGAAATAGGTAAGATGTTATCATTCAGTTAAGCTTTGTGTAGAGTGCCTGAATGACCTAATGACATATTTTCAGGAATGTCTCGCTTGGTGGTCCTGTTTTTAAATGACAACCAGAAGTCAATTCAAATTGAAAAATGCAGATTATTTTCTTGCCAAAACATGGATAATACTTAGTACCTGTCAGGAATTTCAATTCAGTCATCTAAATTCAGTCATGATTTCAACACAATCTTACATGTAGTCTGCAAGTGAATCACATTATGCTGGTTTGAAAAGAGCTGCTATCGTATAATTGTGTTGTGAAAGAACTGGAAATTGGTCTGTCTAGGTATAATTAGGAATGAAAAGCTTGTTTGTAAAAGCCTGGTTGAAAAGTAGGAGCGCGGTTCCGCTGGAGTGCATGAATGGGAGGTTCTTTTTCAGATTTGATAAGAATCTCTTTTGGCTACAGTCTGTTTATCCTTAGGGCCAACACTTAACCTTCAGACTATTAGACCTCTCATTTGCTGCCCTGTTTTTGCTGTCTTAAGAAGACCAAGTCTCTTGGTGCTGGTAGAAAAATAAATTTCATATTGTTGGATACAAATAAGCACAAAAGGACGTGAGAACAGGTATACAGGTCCCATGGGAGGAGAGGAGAGGGAGGCTGCAGGAGAGTTTCTAATGATGGTGCTGTAGACAAAGTATTTCTGTTTCAATGTTTTATGTGCATCGTATCTGTTCCTCGCAATTTGAAATTTATCTCCCTCCCCGTGAGCTAGAGGAATGGTTGCTAAAGCACGCATCATAGCGGTAGGCTTGAGCCCGTAGTAGAGATGTGGACCTAATTTTCACGTGCACGGCATAGGGCAGGTGCATTTGGGCCGATGTGGTAGGGGAAGGGCTGCCAGTGTCTGGACAAGAAGGTGGTAGCAGGGAGCTGGTGGCTGTGCCTGCTGCAGCTCATCGCTGAGGACCACGGCCGGCGAGGAGGGATCGGAGCAGACCATGCTTAGTTGTCCCAGTGGGTTGCCAATGATTTACAAACTGTAGCTTCAGCTTCCCGAGGTAGAGATGGAGCTGGGAGAAACCGCATCAGGAGAATGCGCCTTCGTGGAAAAAGTATCTGAAACTAGTCAGTGACAGGATAAATTTTCAATGTGTCAGAAAGTACTTAGATTTGCTGTTGTTGAAGTGGAACCTGATCTGTAAACTCATGTGGAAAATGAGGTTTTACATAGTGAGAGTTGTGAAAAAACTTTGAGCCAGGTTCCTATTCCTCATCCCAGCGCTTAAATTTTAGCTGGTCTAACTTCAGACCCAGGAAACTGAGGGCTTTTACGTTTCATGTATTAATTTCAAATATTTTTTTATTTTACTTTGTATTTAAAAATGGCTTTTGTAGCAGTCAGTTTTAACTATGGGGAAATTAAATTTTTAGGCAGGTTTCATGGCAAAACGGGCTTTCAGTTATCTGGAGTATGTAGTTACTTTGTACCCTTATCATTAAATACTTTTCTGGAAAGTTTGTGTTGTTGTTTTAACATTTGGTGTTCTGTCTTGGGAATGGGTGGTGCTTCTTAATCTGCTTCTACTTAAATCTTGGTGGAGAGAGTCATATTTTGTTATGAGGTAAGGTTTCAGATTATTTATTGGCACAGCTCTTCCCAACTGAAAAAATATATACCGGTGAGAAGGCAGGGTACTACTGGAGTATTAGCTTACTTTGTCTTCAGCCTGTTGCCTAGTGCATTAGGGCTGCTTTGGCGTGATGCTTGTCGTTCCTTCCTCTTCCTCTAGCCTGCCTGGTGGGACGCAGCCTGGCTGTCCAGGGAGGAGCAGCTCGGGCAGTCGGTCGCCCTGCAGCTGCACATTCTCCCTCGTAGGTATCTCCTCGGCCTCCTGGCTACGGCTGCCTGGAGCATCTGGTTCCTGGCAAATGCGTCCTCTGTCCAGGGACTGTGCGGTGCGTTTGCTAGGGAGGTCGGATGTGATGATTTCATAGGTATTTTCCAGCTCTAATGTCTGAGAGTTGTTTCTGATGCAAGAGGTAAGCCTGCACATGCCTCCCAAGGCTTGCTGCTTTGCTTTAGTGATTTACAGGCGGTCAAAAAAGTAGGTTATGGCAAGAGAGGAAAAAAAGCAGGGGAGGAGTGGGCCTGACTTCTTGGGAATGAAACCAAAATACCCTGATGGAGATCACATAAATCTCTTCCAAGGCCCCCCCAGAATTCCATAAACAACTATTTTGCTTTTAGTGGACTCACTCTCCCAGTCAAACAAGTTTCTGGATATAATTTTTTAAAACACAGGGGAAAAAGATTCTATAAAGTGTTTGTGATATTTACTTTATTGACTCTCCAGGAACTCTTTTGATAGTTGCATATAAAATTCTTGCTTGTAGCAAGAGAGTTACAATTGTATCTCTGCCTTTTTTTCTTTACATTTACTTTCTTTGTGAAATAAAGAACAGGAAATCATGATGGGGAAGGCTCTGAGATCAGTGTGTCTTCAATCCATAGGACGACTGTTCGCTGCCATGTGATACAACTTTTTTCATGGAGGAAGTGGGACAGGGCAATGAGATGAAAGGTCCAGCTGGTTTTCCAATACATTTTATGGGTATGTGCGATGTTACCCATCCAAACTAGTGTTAACATTGGCGTCAAAAATGATTGTGTTCAGCTGTTAAGAACATTTTTGAACATGATGATTGGTAGTCATAGAGATGAATATTTGGTCAAGTCAATTGTTTTCTGGCATTATAGTTACATTGGATTGATTCTGTCATAAGTATGTTGGCTGAACATTGTCAAAATTATTACTTGTTGCATACAGCTCTCTCCTGGTTCATAGTTTCATGATGCTAAGCGCTGTGCAAAGCTCTTACTCTTTGTCCCAGAGGCTTTGCATGGGAAGACATACATGACTTTCAGTCTATGAATTATAAATGCTAGAATACAAATAATTTTTTTCTCATTAAAAAAAAAAAGGCTGCATTGATGTGACTGAGAATAATCACTGTTTTTCTCTGAGTCAGTGATGTTGACTGTTACGGCAGAGACTTTCCCCTTTTGCAGGGGCAAGTGTGTCTTCAGCATAGTATTCTTGGTACGCAAGTCATTGCAGCATCTTTTTCTCCAAATTTGCTTGCAGATTCTTCAGTATGATTTGACCTGATGCTGGTCAAGCAGTATGACTTATATGGCCTTCTAGGAGTGGCATGTAAGTTGATATTTGCACCAGACAGGAGTGTAAGCAATTTGGATAAGGCTGAATGACTGTTGAGGCTGTACGTTTGGAGGCAATCATAGGAGGGTTGCAGGACTTCTGCTGAAGCCTGAATCAGCTCATTGCATTAGTCATTTGTCAAGCAAGTAAATCTTCTCCCACACTCTTGGCTTTGTTTCCACATGCGGATCTCTAAGGAGGGTTAGGCCATCCTTGTGTCCTCTGTGGAGAAGATGGAGTTTTTTTAGCTTTCTGCCTTTTCCACCACAGTTATGCTCTTCTCCCCTCCTGGATGCTCAGCTGTGCCAAAAACCTGCTATCCTGACAGGATTTGTAGCTGTTCTTTCTTGGCAGGAGTGTTGGGCAGGGTTGCGTCAGAGCACTTATGGCCAAAAAAGAAGCTGGAACGCTTGTCAGTCGCAAATCAATTCATAGAGAGGCTTGCTGAGTTTGTGACACTTGGCATTAATTTACATTTTAAAAAATATTTCCAAAATCATTGTATCTCTGAAATAACTTTTATGTTCAGGCTTGAGGCAGTGCTGTGCCTGTATTTTGTTTTTTAGTGGATTTTTATACGTCTGCCTCTGGTGCTGTCCCTTCTCTCGTGGTGATTCCAATAATTGGTGCAGGGCCCTGTTTCAGATCAGGGAGGAAAGGAAGACACATGTCTTTGATCGTAAGAGTTTTTAGAGTAACCATTTTTGCTCCAACGTCTGTCAGGTTGAACTAAAGCAGAGGCACTGATTAGCAAACTTGAACTGAGAAAGAAGAAAATGCTTTAATTGGTATTCTTCAAAGGCATTGATGTTTGCAGATCAGGTCATCTTGCATTCCTGTCAGCTGGCCTGGTTTCCTATTGTCAGATAATCTGACTGTACTCTTTATAATTGCCTATTTACTGTCTTTCAACCCTTCTCTTTCTTAAGTCTCTCCAAGTTATCTTGTTGGACAGGACTTTGGACTTTTGCTTTGAAAGTATGTAATCTTCATTAAATATTCTTGGTGCTGACTCTGACCCCACTTGCCCAATTTCACAGTTTGTTTACCTGACTTCATTTTAACTGCTATTGTTCTTACATTTCACGTGTGGTATGAATCAAGCTGTCAGTTTGGATTTTTTGTTTGTTTGTTTGTTTTTGTTCATCTGCAAATACTTTGCTCAGAAGTTTGCTGTGTAAATCTGAATATATTTATGTGATCTTTCTAACATTAAATGCTTGTTTTGTTTCTGGGGGGTGTTTTGGGTTGTCCCTAGCTTCATCATGCAGATGTGGTGGTAGTTGGCAGTACAAAACCCGATGATGTTCCTCTGAGCTGGATAAAGCCTGGAGCCACCATTATCAGTTGCTCCCGTGACTTGCTGTCAGGTAAGAGGCGTTAGAAGTGAGCAGTTCTTGAAAGTGATGAGTCTTTGAGATAAGCATGTGGCGTTTTGTTGACAACACGATGTTGTTAAAAGCTGCATCTTTGGGAGAGGGCCTTTAAAAGCGGGTGTTTGTGTACAGGGGATGTATACATGTGTCTCTGATGTATAAATAGGAAAAAGATGTCAGGTGAGGGAAGAAAGGCTGGAACAGATTCTTTGTACCCGGATTGGTAAATAAGTGATGATCCTATGGATTCTAAGAATTCAGAGGGAAGACTTTTGGGTCATCAGATGAGCTACTATTTAGCACTGTTTTGTGCAGTGTGTTATCCTGTGACTTCTGTGGACTTACCTGGAACATGGGGAAAAGAGAAGAGGGGCAAAAATATCAACTGCGAAATGCTGTGAAGCTGTATGCAGGGAATGGTGCAGGAGGGAGTAGGGCAATCATGCGTAGCTAAGAACAGGCAGAATGTCTCCTGCGGTAATTACGCCTACAAAAAGAGTCTGAATTTTCCTCCCTCCTCCCCTGACTGGTTGGAGAGGGGATGTATGTTCATTAATTTCTTAGTTGAAAAATGATACAGAATTTTATTAGGACTAAAACTAAGAAAGCTTCCCAGAAGTTACTGTATTCTCCTGCAAGAGTTGCATTTCCTGTAAAATTCTTTAAAGTCCTGTGAAGATATCTAGATATTTTTCTAGATTTTTCATATGTATATGAATTTTGACTGTTCAGTGTCCAGGTAGAATTATGCTGCAAATAAGCAGGAAAATAAGTAAGTGCGTGGGGAGGATGATTGGTTAATGTGTCTTTCTAAATCTATCACAAGTGTGCTTATTGACATCTATTGATACAAAGCTGGGGAAATGGGCATAAGGCCAAGGAAAACTAATTGTATGTTTCTTAAACTAGGCATATTCCCTAAGGACAAATTAAGCAGGCACTCTGTGCAGAGCTAATGCAAGATCAGGCTCATAATAAAGCAGCTGCTGTTCCCATGCAAAGTGTGGCCTCAGCAAGAGATTCCTTTCCTTCTCTTTCATGATATCCTCTTGACTTGAACACACTACGGGTGTGGGAAATCTGGGTTATTGTTCCCTCAATTGTCTGAAGGCATTTGAGCATTCATCTTCCACCTCCTAGAACAGTGATCTGATCCTAATGGGGATCTCCGAGGTGGGTACCAAGTCTTATCCCTTGCTGATGCTGCACAAGTTGTCCAAAAATAATTCATGTTTTCTTTTTCCTAGCCTAGTGATTAGGAGACCCCTTGCATCTTTAATGCCCACTTATTTTGCATGGGGATTGTTGGATATAATTGTTAAGTATCTGTGGGACAGGGCTTGGAGCATAGGTCTCTTCAGCAGGTACCCAACCTACTAGTGTAACGGACTCTTACATGAAGGAGGAATGGGGGAGAAAGGGAAAGGGGCAGAGAAGACAGGGAATGGTGGTACAGCAGTAGCACCAATAAATAAATAAATGAAGAGGAATGGCCCCTCCTCATCTTAATCCTTCTAAGCAGAAGCCTCTGAGCTGTCGGACTCAGGGTAGAGCTGCAGGTCTATGAAGGCAGGATGGAGGTAAGCCAGTCCTCATAGCCTGAGCAGGCACCTCTGATGACTGATGTCTCCTGGCTCTGCGTGCTGCCTGGTGCAAGTCCCATGTTCAGATCCTAATTCTCTCTTTCTGTTGCAGAGGGAGTCGGGTCTTCAGAGACCTGAAAGTTATGCAGTGTAACTGCATGCCACATCTTGAGACTTTAGTATCTTCATGCCTTAGTTGCTCTATACAACTGCAGATAATATTCGTGTTTCCCTTCCCTAAAAGAGTGCTGTTAGGAGAACTGCATTAAAACATATGAGTGGTGTTCATATACCACACCAGCATTCATTCTGAAGGCAGGAAATGTAAGATTTGGCATAAGCATATAGATTTCTTTGCATTTTTCAAGTTGTAGTAGTGGGCTGTGCGAAGTACAGCATTTCTTTGGAAAGTCAGCATGAGATTTTTAGCAAGATAATTTAAATAGAACTTATCTACTAAATGACCATCTGTCTTTATGCTTACGCTTTTGAGATTGTCAGAATCTTGGAGAAACTCCACAAGAATAGCAGAAATGCATTTTAGCAGCTTTCAAAAATGCTGGCCTCAAGACTTCCTAAAGAGGTACATGAAACACAGGTGTCTGTTTGACAGGAAGAATGCACTTAGTTTAATTGCAAGATATTTATTAAAAGCCTATTGTGGAGCAGTCACGACCTTGGAGAAACAACTGAGTCTTACAACTGACTTTTCGCTTTCAATATGTGGTAGAATCTGGCTGAGGAGCTTGGAAATTGTTCTGAGTTTTTTCTTGCCTTGGAAATGTCCAACTTAACATCTGTGGGGTCACAGGAGCTAAATGAAGCCTGAAAGCAACAATGGCCATGAAATTACTTTTATTCTTGCTAGGTGATGGCTAGATTTCTATTTTGTGTAGGTATACATGTAATCTTAACACAGTTGCATGTTTTAAAAGCACTCAAAATTTGCAAGGACATAGTTGGGTAGCTGTAATGATGTAAGCCTGGAGAGTAGAGCTAGAAGTGCTTGCTCCAAAGTGACAGAATTATTTTTCAAGCATGTTTTTAATCTGATCAAAGATTTGTAGATGATCACAATTTTAAAATGTTCTATAAATTCTAACAGTGCAACATCTTATTCTGCTGTACTAATGATTTTGGGATCAAGTGAGTGCTGGTAGTGTCTTGCAGAAAAATGCTTTATATGTGAATGTATAGAAATGAAAATCAAGTTTCTGTATAAAACTTTAGGATGCCAAAATTATTTTGGGTTTTGATGCCCAACTCCTTTCAGGTCACTAGAAAGCTGAAGTCAGTATGGTTTAAATACGTTAGTGGGAAATTCAACCATTTCCCCACCTCTTCTCTATTCTAAGCTGCCTGAGCTGACAGGTAGTGCCTGACAGCAACTCTCACCCACCCGCAGAACAGGGTGCAAATAGATGGGTAGGGGGGCTGCCTTGGGGGGAGTCAGAGAAGGGAGCACAATGTCTGCGGACCAGCTGATCTTCTGGCCAAAATCCAAAGCGGAGAGTGCTATTCCAGCTCCCATCTGGAAAATTTATCCTGAGAGAGCTGTTGCAATCTTGTGATTGTCTTGCTAGCTCATGTGTGCATGACTTTCCCTTCTAGCTTCACCTTCACCCCTGTAAAAGCCTGGTTAGTCATTTGTGGGTTGAGTGTGTAGCATAGGCAGCCTGAGAAAAGCAGTTTATTGAAGGGAAATGTCTAATTCTGATATGTATTTACATGCGTGCTAGCTCTGCCCTGATAAAGAAGTCACATTTAAGCCAAATAACATAAAAAGTTGAAATGTTTCTGTAAAGCACAGCTGTCTGAAAGGAGATTTTAAACTTCATTCTTCCTACTTCATTTGTCTCTTTGGCAGCTCTCCCAGCCTGATCTCAAAGCAGCAACAGTCAACTTACGACTGTGATAGACTGTTCCAGTAAAAGTCCCCTGTCTGAGTCTAAAACTGAGAATCTCTGGGAGATTTTTTTATTATTTTTTTTTAAAATGGCAAGCATTAATACAAATAGAAGAACTTTTCAGACACTTTCTTAATTAGAGTTCAGCGTCAGGACTGTCGCCTTCTGCTTGGTTAGCTTTGTCACTGATGTACAGATGTCTAGCGACAAGAAAGTTGGAGAGAGGATTAGAAAACACACTGAATGAGGCTGAGGGTGTCTGCAGAAAGGGTCTCGCGCTCCCGGAGATGGGCGTGAGAGAGCGGGCTGGAGCTGGATGCCGCGCGGGGGGATGCTGTGCTGACTCTGCTGCCTGCCGCTCCGGCTCCAGCCGGAGGTTTCCGCGCCCTGCCGCTGCAGGGAGCCTTGTCGGGAGGGATAATTGTGCAAGGCAACGTGAGCAGTTTATGATCGGTACAGCTGGGATGAGTAGAGCGTGAGCTTGACCAGGTCAGGGTTCGCACTCCGGTTCCCCTGTGGGCGAAAGGCTGAAGCTGTCAGCGTACAGTTGTTATTTTTTATTACAGTTATGTCTACGCCCTTCAGAATGTGTCTGGGGCCTTGATATGCCCACAGAGACTAGGATGTGAATTTTGGAGAAATTGTGTCTCGATGAAAGTCAGTAAGCAACAGCAGAAGAACAAGCCAAAAGAAGGATTACGGGAAAATGACAAAATAATATGTTTTATAGGGTAGCTAATGTATGATTATTATATGATATGTTGCCACTAGAAACAATTACAACTATCTCTGAAGTTGAAGTCACTCTAAATTGTGTAGACTTTTCAAACTATCTACTTTTAATGTCACATGGATGAAGATAACTTTTGCTGCTCAAAAAATTTTACATATTCTGATTCCAAGTTACAAATCCCATTGGATAATAATCCCATATATTATTCTGTGATTGTGTCATCATTCTGCCTTGCTGTAATGGGTGTGTGGAAAAGAACAATCTTTACCATGCTCATTTAGGCATTCGGTTTAAAAATATATGTAGCTTTTCAAATCCTCATAGCTGTCTGGTTTTTTGTTGTTTGGGGATTTTTGGGGCAGGGGGTGTCCAAAAGCAATTATTTGGATCCTGGAGTTAATGTCCATATTTCCTAATTTTCAAGTATGTGTATGCTTCGTCACATGCATGTGTGTGCTTGCGTAATATGTTTCAGAGCATACAGTTGCTCTCTGCTTTTCATGCTATATCCATCCTACTGAGTGATTTCATTTGAAGTATTAAAGAAGCCACCTATAATTTTGTTAGTGACATTGTTAAATTTCAAGTCGACATTCGGAATTTTTTTCTTTGGACATAGATTTCAAATACATGTACTCCCACTCACAAAAGCTGTGTGATTTATTAGTGCAATGCTTTTATTTTACAGAGAAACACAACCATGGTCAGGAAAACAACCATGCTGCTGAAAACACTGTTGGTTCTCTTGCAATAGCAATGCGAATGCAGGTTAGTGTAACTTCAAACATTGTCAATTTGTTGCTCTTTCTGTGAGTTGAAGAAATTGCTTCTACAGTTTAGATTTTAATTTTTGTTTTGCTGTTTTGAACATCTTACCTGCCTTCCATTGTAGTAGCAACTCTTAATCAGTTAGTTAGGGTGAGTCATGCCTGCTACATTTAGTTAGAGAAAGGTAAATTTAAATTCAAGCATGTCATAATTCTGACGATTACAGTAAAGCTTGGCAGAAGCACTTCTATCAGTAGACTAACGTTACTTACTCTGCTAAGACAGTGAAGATTAATTATATCTGCACACATTTTTGTGGCATGATGGATAGAGGTCCAAAAGCTTGTTGTTTTATGTGGAAGCAGCATGAGTCAGTGAACAATTCATATCTTCCATAATTTTAAGGTGTGAGAGATTAAAATTAATTTTCCATTTTACCAGAATAAAATCTCCAAGTGCCTGGTTAGAGACTTTTCTCTGCCACTTAGACGTTAACGGTCTTGTCCCTTTCTGAAATGTGGACAAAAAAATAGGACAGTAATAGTGTCATGGTTATTTTTTCTTTCATCCTAAAACCATGAAATGGAAAGATTTTAAAGTTTGTTTTTTGTTAGCCTTTGCCGTAAAAGTTATTTCAACATACTCCTGAGATCGTTTGAAATTAGTCTTCAGCGTTTATGATGCAGCTGGTGTGTGCTGTTTTCTTGTTTAAAAACAGAACATGGTGAAAAACACGGAGCGATGGATCCGGTCCCAGCAGCACAGGAAGTGGGACCTCCGCTGCTTGAAACTGCAGCCCCTCTCCCCAGTGCCCAGGTAACATGTGGTTTGTTTTTTTTTAAATAAAAAAAAAAAAAAAAAGAGTAGGCAAGCATTAAATGTGACAATGAACCTAAAAATGGTCCATGCCTAATTATTTTTTAATCTGCTTACGTGGATTATATGTTGTTCCTTTTTGCTGTATGCCTCATTGCAACCATGTCCTTCTGTTTCTTATCAGTTTTTACTTTCATGATGTGCATTGGAGCCAAGCTTTATTTAATGAAGACCTAAAACTGGAAGGTTTCATTGAGGGAGGGAGGTGAAGCTTTGTGTAACGTCGACAGGACTACAAAATACAAGAAGTTCCTAATTGCTAAACCTTAATGTAGGATCTAGTCAAGGCCCATTGCTTTCAGTGGCATTTGATCTTGTGTTTATTTTCTTCCCTCAGTAGAAGAACTTTCTTCCACATTAGACTTTTAAATTCCTGTGTAGATGTGAAAAGCAGGAAGTGTATTTATTCTCGTAGCCAGAATCTTTTCACTCGGTTCCTGTCATTCACCTCCCCAAGGCCCATGTCTGGACCGCAGAGATTTTAGGTCTGCCTTGGCATGGTTGTTGACATCTCCGGCATTTAGAGCAGCCTGAGCCCTTTGCTTTGCTGTGTGTTGATTGTGTTGGGTGACGGAGAGAGGAACCGATGACTTGAAGTGAGGTTCTACCATGAAAGATAGGTTTGAAAATTTTGTGCTTATTTGTATGCATGCTTCTGGGCCACGCAGATGATGAAGAGACTGGAGCACCTCATGTAGGAGCAAAGGCGAAGTGAGCTGGGACTCTATTCCAAACCCTCTCCATGACATTATGTGTTTAGTACATAAATATTTACATAATTCATATATAATGTCATATAATATAACCACTACTAGGACTTCCATTTATTTGATAACTCTATGGCTTTAAGTCTTTTTTTCTTTTAAATGTAAAATAACTCATCAGACGGAAAGTATCCTGCGATAAAATGTAATCTTACAGTAATACACTGCGTTGTGTGGAAACAGATGGAGTTTTCATTGAGAATGAGGCAAAGCTGCTTAAGCACTAAAACTATGAACATCTGCTTTTTGATTTCTGTGAGATCTGGGTGTTAATTGAAGTATTTCCAAAGATACAGGAAACGGAATGGAAGATTTCTTACAAATATGCAGTAAAAGAAAATTCCAGCACACAGGCTGAGTAGATGTAGAGCCTTCCCCCTTCTTTTAAACTTTCCTGTATTTAGTAAATTATGGTTTACCATTGTCAGTGGTGGACTTTTTGCTTAATAATTCTCATTCATGCAGAAGAATCACTGTTGCACATTTCCAGCAACACTGAATAACATAACTTATTGGATAATTCTGATATTTCCAATATAGAGAATATATTGTCAAACTAAAAGATCTAGCTACAAACATAGTCTTCTAAATGCTAGTTATAGTCAAATTTTTAATTTCCTGTGGTTTAGACAGTACTTTCACCAGAAATAATAGACTTGATGTAAACATTTCGTATGTGTTTTTTAGCCCCAGTAGTAGTTAAGGTATAAATGTCAATTCATTGCGAAATTATGCCTTGTATCGCTTCATTGTGTGAATCAACGTGCAATCTGTCATTAAAGGGTTTTTAAGTTGTTAAAAGTCTAGGTGCCCTGAAGGTTCTTCAGGGAACTTCAGATGAGAAGATGACAACAGCAATGGTTTTACCAGTGGAGAACTGTTAGCATCCACTGTCAATTTTTCTTGACTTCTAAAAGTACTTGTAATTTATTTATCTACAAATTCTTTACCTTTTACTTTTATAAGTGTACAGCTTGGTCAGTTTTGCTTCTTCCACTTTTTGCCAGTAGAGGTACCTGCAGGATGGAAAAAGCCTCATTGCTTCTTCCAGAACTCGTGAGAGAGAGGCGTTTGTGGGTGGCCCAGGAGATTGCTGCAGAGAGTCTTGATAGTGTGGCCTGAGATTTGAAGTAATAGCATCTGTCTTTTAGTAAAGAGGCTGATACATTTAGTAGGAGAAAAAAAAAGGCAGATTAGCTTTCTGTTGTACTGCTCTACATCTTTCTCCCCTTGCTGAATACATCAATTACCTTAATAAGAGAATAGTCACCCTACAAATTTTCCTTGCTTAAATCTCTTAAGGGACCACACTGTCATCAACTTACCAATATTTTTATGGCACTCGAGTTGTTTCTGTATAGAGAGTTCTGAATGAAAACTTTAAATATTCTTTGTCGTGTGATGTTTGTAAGCCACTCAATCTTGTGTTTTTGATACATTTCTATTGGATAGTTGTGTTTGAAGAAATGCATAAGAAAGTCAAAGGTATATCTTTCTATGCAAGAAGATGTGCTTAGTATGTCTTTGAAAGAAAGCAGATGCCAAGTTAGTATGTGCAGTGAAAGGGTTTGCAACCCAACCATTGAGTGCTGTGATTGAGTAGCTTCTTGTCCTGTAGTATTGGATTATGTCAATGTTTGGATGGATGATTTCTGGGTTTCACTTAGCTGCTGCAGAGTGCAAAAGTGGGATAGTTGAGAGTTAGAATGGTCCCAGTCTAGGATATCCTCAAAGGATTGCAAGCAATTAAGTTGGCACAAAGTGATCGTTTGCTGGTGGATGCAGAACAGACGAAGTCCACATGTAGAGTTGAGATCTGGCAGTAGTTTTGTGTTCATCTCTGGATATTTGAGGTCTTGCAGACTGTTTGAAAGTTCAGGACATTAGCTTTGATGCCATTGCCAGATTCTATCTTAAAAATACTGTAATCGACTGAAACTGCAGGAAGGAATTTACCCTGGTTAGACTGAAAGTAATTAATCTCTTGGTAATTTTAAGTTACTTTTGTGGTGATGTGAGTGATTCAAAGCCAAAGGAGACAACGCCTCACATCGTGTGTGCCAGGCCCTGGACTTTACTGCCACAGGTGCTTGAAGCTGCTAAACGCTTATGTGGACATAAGGGGCAACTAGGTCAAGCTCACAAACTAAAAGTTCATGAAGGATTATAAAATCCAAAGACCTCAGGTGGTCTAGGTCCAGAATTGCAGATACAATAGTGTCCCCCAGCCTACAGCCCTCTCCTCTTGGGCAATGCTATCATGTGCGCTTGCTCCATGCTTGTTCTCTTGCCTTAGCTGCCACTCACAGTCCTCCTGGAAATAGTTTATAAGCTCACTGGGCTTCTGGCCTGAGCCCTGTGCATTAAACTCCAGCTTTATGGCCATTTTCAGTGTGGCTGTGTTTTAGAAGTGCATGAGTTGATCTTGAAATGCCTTGTTTCATTTGGTGCCCTCATGGGGGGAGTAGTGAGGCTTAGCTTGCTTGGCGGTACCCTCTGATGAAAGGCACTACATGCACAAGCATCAGGTTTAGCTAATGTGTTTATGTGACTGTTGGCCAAGGTATGTATGCACTTTTTAGTGAAGTGTGTGTGCTGAAATATACTGCGAAGGAGGAGAAGAAAAACAAACCCAGAAACATCCATTCCAGTGGGACATGGTTGAGCATCCAGCAGATACGTCTCTAGCTTGATATGAAAGTATTACGTAATATTTGGAATCTGATTAAATGCGAGAACTCTGTGAAATTGTAACAATTAACAAACACTGCGCATGATTTTCAATATTATATTAGGTGCTGGCTAATATTTAGGTTTGGTTAATAAAATGTGAGAGAGGATTGAAAAACTGATAACAATAACCCCATTGTTGGAGTATTTGCTGTTGTTTTGTGCTCTGTCGTCGACCACCTAAGCTGAGAGAAATCTCCTGGCTCCTATTTGTTTTCTTTTCCAGTGATATTGAGATTTCCCGAGCACAGAGTCCAAAAGCAGTTGATGTACTTGCCAAGGAGATAGGATTGCTTACAGATGAAATCGAGATCTATGGCCAAACCAAAGCCAAAGTACGTTTGTCCCTGCTGGAAAGGTTAAAGGATCAACCAGATGGAAAATATGTTCTAGTTGCCGGGTAAGAATGCACAGTAATGTCAGTAATGTCCACCCTTTTCACTCATACTAATATAAACATGCAGCTTACATCTTTTTAATACACTACACAAATAAAAACCCTGAATGTTTTCGGCTGTAGGTTGCTCTCTTCTGAAAATGAGCAGTTTTGAAATTTTGAAGCAACACAACTTTTCTTCCAAACTGTTATTACCAAAGTAAACTATATTTTATATGTGGTAGTTTGTTCTAAGCTTCTTAAATGTTATCTGTTGGTGTGTGGAGTTTTTCTTACTGTTTTATCAGAAATTTAAATGTTTAACTTGAATATTTAAGTCTGTCTGTATTCTGTATTCATGTTTGTTTATAAACAAACTTTTAACAGAAGCTACATGCTAATCTGTTGATGTTAACAAGAAATACTTTTTTTTTCTTATTGAAGAACAGATTACAAAGTTAAAAAAGCCATGTTTTTTCTCTGAAATGTAGACATGTCTCCAGGCAGGCTTATGCTACTCTCTGTTCCCACGAAACAGCAAATGGAATTATGTGCTTCTCTTCTGAAGAGCTCCGGGTTTTTTCTGCATTCAGTGACACAACATTTTTTCATTCACCTGGTTTGCTAAGTGGAAACTTCTCATTGTCATCAAACATGTGAAGGTTTTTATTAGTATTTAAATTGCAATGCATTCTTTATATTCTTAGTTAGTCTATATCGTGCCTTCTTTCTAAGTAAAACCAATCAGGTTTAAAATATAGCTTTAGGCTGATCCAGAAGGAGAAGGCTGTTCTTAACTACCTTGATTTACCAGTTCCTCAGTCGGGGTAGTGTTCTGCAAACTGTTTAATGCCTTCCCAAACTGTTTAATGCCTTCCTGTGGGGACAGCCTGGTTTTCTGGTGCTATCTGAGATGGAGCCATTGTAGACTGAGACACCTGATGTTACAAAGCTGGCAGGCAAGTTATGAAGTTGTCTTCAAAGCTACGTGATAGAACTGCAGCGTACGTTCCTGGAGGATGTTGGAGCAGTTGTTTAAGAGAAGGAAATAATAGCTGTTGAGCCTGGTTTCCTTCGGTACAGTTTTATTTTGTATTTTGCTGCTTTAGAGAAGGAAAAGCAGATTCAGCATTTGGCTGAGTTTGAGGAAAGTTGCTACCATGTACTTTCAGGCTGATGATGTCGCCTGCATCAGATGGGTGCCATGCTGCAGGTTGTGCCAGGCTTCTCCAGCAGCAGCATCTCACAGAAGCAGATGTTATTTGCAAACATCTGGAGGTGGAAGATAGCATGATGCAAAACCCCATTCAGGTGGATTTTAGCAGTGTCAGATTGTATGCACCAGTGCTTGTGGTTTCTTCACACTGCTTTGGCTCCCACTCTTCTTCGAGGAAGGTGTCATCTCAAGCGATTCTCTGAACGCTGGCTTGTTGGCACAGACAGAAGTGTGTATACATGTGGAAGAAATGGGGAAGTTTTGACTAGCAAGTTGAAAAGCTGGCAACAAATAGAAAAGTGTAGCTTCTTAAGTTTATTTAAATTGTAAAGACTGACCTGTGTTTCACAAACAAATGGCTGGGTTTGGTACCTCACAACTTGATTATGTTGCTATTTGTAACTTCTCTGAAGTCATTGCATCTGGTGAAGTGAGTACACAGCCACGTCTGCTGCACAAGGAGTGCTGGGGCACCGGGGCTACAGCAGTGGGAACGGTCTCTTCTGAGAGAGTTCAAAGTTTGATTTTGAAATATTGTACATATAAAAAATATATATAACCTGTGTTTAGGTGTTCTCAGCTGTTCTCATTTGCTGAAATGACTGTAGCAGACAATGATTTTAAGAAAAGTGGGGAAATGTTCGGTCCAACAAAAACTGAATACCGCTCAAGTGTGGAAATCGGGGAGTGAAATCCTCACTGGCCGCCTTCATCCTCTCCCTGCCAAGGCAAGGTCAACCAAAATGTGCATTTGGATTATTACCTTTGTTCACAATACCCAAAGATAGGTAGAAATTATTTTAGAATGATGCAGTATAGGTCTTCAGAGTGTTTTCAGTTCTTCAGAGGAAACGTTTAGGATATATGCTTATACTTCAGGGTATTTGGTCTGATGGAAATATTTGTTATGTTTGATGTGAACTTTTCATATGTGAAGGGAGTGAAAAATGTGCATGTGGTATTCAACAAGCTGCAAAATCTCCAACCTCCATCCATGATCCAGCCACTGACATTTGTACCTGTAATTCCGCAGTCAGGTTTCGGTATTTCTTGATGTCTAGGAATTTATTGCTGATGTGCTAGAGCCCAAACCTGTTGTTCTGAATAGCAAAACGCAACCAAATGTACCTTTTTATCTCTAAGGATAGCTGTATTTATGACTTTTTAAAAAGTTGTTACTGACTGGAAGGTCATCTTTGCACTTTCTGAATGCATACAAATGTCTCATCCAATAGACACTTTGTATGCTGAAAAATTCCAGTTTGGTTAATGGATCATGTCACCCAAAACCAGGATGAAGACTTAATTTCTTCATGACTTCCATTTTCTTCTGTATGGAGAGAATTCTTTTCACTTTTCTTCATTATCTCTTTTGTGTGTGTGTGACTTGTTACAGGGCTCATGTTAAGACACCTTGGGGTCAGAGCCACAAGTTATAATGGAGCAATTAGCTCTTGGGCATCAACTGCCTTTTATACAGACTTTTAATGTGCTAAAAAAAATTATGTTGCAGGATATGTTAACTCAAACTGCCTCCCATTCACTGCAAGCTGAGAGCATGCAAATGAGCAAAGCTTGTGCATGACCTAGTAGCTAAGTTTAGTGCCCAGGATAACTTAATCATGCATTCAAGCATGTAGATAGCATATTCATAAACACGATATGAAACTACATCTAAAATTTGTTATAGAGTCTGTGTGTGTTCCGGCATTTTGTTTTTAAATGGTCCAATGCTGTGGCTTTTACCAGTTGATTCTGGTAGCTTGCTCACTTCAAAAATGCAAGCTGAGGAATAATAGAATGTGGAAAAATTATGAAATATAATGCTGCTTTTAGTAAGAATTGTGTTGGATTTTGAATGCTGGGAAATTTAAGATCAGTACTTTTAACCTAGCATTAATAGATTGTTTTGTGATGAACTACCTTTTCGGTAAGATAAAAATGGAGAGAAATAAATACTAACTTAATGCTTATACAAGTTGTTTGGTGGTAAATATCTTAGGGACAGAATTTTCAGATGTGGAATTTCAGTGGGTACATCTTGGGTTGTACTTCTGTTCACTGTATTTCTTGGGCCATAAGGTGCTTAAAAGAAAAATGGTAGACATGAAAAAGAGGAATAATACAGGGAAGAATAAGTGGGGAATATACCACTGCGTTGATGCACTGAAACACCTGACTGTCCAAAGCAAAGTTGTGGTGTAGGCAGTTTGTCGTGTGTTCGTTGTGTTGTTGCACAGCTCCTGACTGGGATTGTCTCGGATGGGTCTTCGTCAGCTTTTGAGAGTTTGTAGTTGTGAATTCCTCAGGCTGTTCCCAGCTTTGTTCAGTCATTTTAGCTTCACAGTGATCCCCGTACTTTCATAGCTGGAAGCTCAAGTCCCATTTTGAGGATGCCACTGCAATGTTGTCATAATCTCACCTCGACGAAGTGACAGGAGTTGCAGTGCTTCTGTGCCCAGAAATAAATCTCTGGCAGTTGTAATCTTGGATGGGAGATGTGGGTAGGTGAGGCTGTTATTTATGGGAACTTGATTGCCCGTGCCCTCCATAGCTAGGCTTTGTACGTTTCCATGTGGATCACGGGAATGGTGAACTCATTAAAATCTTTGAAATTGCTGATACTGATGATTTGAAGATAGGAAATTGAAAGAGGAGAATTGTCACACATCCAGTAAAGTTCTTGCTGGAGTCACTGCGGCTGGGGTAGCTGCGAGGAGGTTACAGCTGGTGCAGTGTATCATCTCACTGTTTGTTTATTTTCTCTTTGGGAGACCTCATGTAGCTTTCCCACAGAAACAGCTCCACTGTAAGCTAATGTGATGTATAACAAACAAACAAAAAGTCTGCATATTCTTATCTTTGTTTTGATATACGTAAAGAGAGGAGGCTTTCCAATGTTATGGAAAGCTTGCTTTGCCAAGGAGCTGGTGACTGCTTGGTAGGTGGCAAAGAAGTTTTAAGGAGGGAAAATGATTGTGGGGTTTCTGTGTTTAGATTGAAAACATATTAAAGAAATTTGAAGAAGAATGCAAATGAGTGTAAAAGTCTCTTGAAGTTCATTAAAATTGACTGTAGTTTAAAAGTTTGGTTTTTGGGTTTTTTTTTCCCCTAGATTTGCATGAGGTCAAAACACAGCGTTGCACAATTGAGCTAAAGTTAGCCATTAGCAGTTGTAATTTTATACTCATGTGAGCGAGTGACCTAAGTTGCAAGAGTGTAGGCTCAGTAGCGTAGCCAGCAAAAACACCTCAATGTCCACAAAACAGCTTAAGTGGATTATTTATTTATGAAACTGATCAAAGTAGGCCAGGTACAAAAGGGGAGGTATTTAAAATAAGCTTTAGAAGGATATTATTAGAATAGAAATCTCTCAGTTTCAGGGGGAGGGGTGTTGTGGGGGGTTTTGTTTGACTATGTTGTTTTTTTAACTAATATTTAAAACTGAGATTCTGGTAACTATTGAAATTATTAAATAGCTGCTTAGCACTTAAGATTTATCCCGTAGTCTCCAGGCTGCTGAGACTCAAAGGTGTCCTGCCAGGGCCTCTCATGTAAGATGAGAAGTTGGGGATAGGCACGTGAATTGTCTAGACCAATCCGACTTCGCTGAATAGTGTGATTTACAGAATCCTCGCATTTTGTTAATTCTGTTAGGTGGAAGGAGACTGAAAAGTTAGGTTCCTGGTTTTGACTTCTCAGGGGTTTGTACTTCTTCCTACCTGCTGCAGTGGATGAGGTTTCTTGGGAGACTGTCACACAAGTGCTGTAGACAGTCTATGGAAGTCCGGTTGCTGGCTTTCTTCCTCCATCACAGCTGCCTTTTCACATTTGGAGCCTTCAGGTCGTCATCTGAGTAACTCTAATTCCAGGAAAACTAAGGATCACAGGGCTTCTCAGAAGGGAGAGCACAGATTAAAAGGTACAAACCCATCTGAGGAACACACTGAAAGTGTAGGCCGTTAAAGCCAAGGAAATTTGGTGAAGTCGAGGTCTTGTCTGCAAAGACATGTCTGTTTACTGCTGCAAACCATTGTGTGCTTGCATGAGTACACTGGTGAAAATAAGCTTGCTCCAGTTAATTTTTAGCCCCAGTTTGGTGGAGGCTGGTTCTCCCAGAGCGCCACATTCTCGGTAGGGATGTGGCCGGTGCAGAGTATCAGTGTACTGGGAATTCAGCAGAGGCAAGATCTGCTCCTCCCAATTTGAACAATGAGCATTGGTCTGTTTCTCTCTTTGTTCTCTGGAAAAAGGCCTTTCTCACAGAAAATTCCCAGTGTTTTCTGGCTCAATTTACATAGTCATTTTAGAATAGGCCAGCTGGGTTACCAGAGCATTTTAGTGACGTGGGACTTGATTGTATGCATCTTCTGGGATAAGTAGATACTATTCTTCATGCAACTACCAACGTGCCTTCTGGTTATACATTTGTCAATTCCAATTTCCTTTTCTTTACTGAATGGTAGGATGCATCTTTGATTTTGCTTGTTTCATAAGAGCTGTAAGGAGTGCATGCCAGGCCAGCCTTCTGCAGTGTTTTGAGCTGCACTTGAGTAAATAACCTAGTGATGGTCTCTTTGAATTCTCTCAAACGTGAACTTTGTGTGTCCAATGTTCAAAAATAGAGGAAACCACCAGCAGGAAGCACTGCAAATACAAGTTGTTCTGTTAGCAGTGCAGCTGTTGTGTGCGCTGAGTTTTTGGGGGCTGTGGGAAGTCCTTTACTAGTAACTTCCAGTAAACAGTTATAGGAGTCTTTTTCATAGCAGAATAGTTTGCTTTTTGTGGTTTGGTTGTTTTTTTTTTTTGGGGGGGGGGGTTGTTGTTATTGTTTTTTTAAATAACTAATAGCTTAAAGAGTTATTATCTTATTAAGTCTTTGAATGAGTGCAGTAATGCCTCAAGATTACTCATGTATTCTTTAAATCTCACTTTAATGCGCAGGAATAAGAGGATCAAGTAAATGAGATTAGAGCAACAGACAAAAGTGAATGAGACAGTAGGAGAACAAGGGGCAAGGAGAAACCCTGCTAATAATGATTTGAATGGGGTTTGGGCAACCAGCGTTAGAACAGTAGTCAGGAGGGTGAAACTGGTAGTGAAAGTGAGTTAACCCGGCTGTGGTGCTCTGAAAGAAGTGTCTTTGTACAAAAGTGAGGATCCTGGGACAAATGGAGATGGCAGAAGTAGTGGTGGGAAAACCCGAAGCTGTCATTGTAGCAACAGTAAAACCGGGAGGGCTTGCTGTCCTGACAATGTAGAGATTAAAAAGCATCCATTTTTCTAGGAGCTGCAAACATGAAGGTGAGAGAAATGAAGTAGCATTCTGTGCTCCTGTAGTAGATCAGAAGAAAATAAGACGGCCAAGGCATAGTGTGAATAAAAAGATGGCAGGGACCAAAACCACTTTGGAGAGTAGATGAAGTGGCTTTAGAGAGTAGGTAAAATTGATTCTTCTCAGGATATGCTCTAAATCCCCCACCTTTCGTTGGCTCTACATAGAAATTTTGCTAAAAATCTGTGAATTCCCTTTTAAGAGAAGGAAGTATGGTTCCAGAAAGGCAGGAGGACGAAATAGAATTCATAGAGTGGTTTGGATTGGAAGGGACCTTAAAGATCATCTTGTTTCAGCCCCCTTGCCAGGGGCAGGGAATAGCCTGGATAGTAAGTTATTGACAATGCTTTAGAGCACGATAGTTGGCAAACATGATGTTATAAACATGGGAAAAAGTAACTAAAAACAAATGCCCAAATTAACCAACCCATGTACTACATAGTCGTATAAGACTAGTTCAAAGCTATCCACAGACAAAATACTATTTTTGAAGAGTCTCAGTTCAGGGAATCTCTTATAGATGTACTAAACCCCATTGATTTCACTGGAACTTGAGTTAAAACATTACTTTCCTGAGTAGGAAAATTCTTTCCTGGAACAATGTAGTAGATGTTAATTTGGCTTGCCTCCTATTGCCCAATTTTTTCCAGACATATCTAACAAAGGCATCTTTTTTTTTTTTTTTTTTTTAAACAAAAAGCCCAAGATCTGATGATGATATAAAAGCTAGATTTGTGACAAGTTAATGTTTTTCATGTGTTTACATTTTGTGGGGCAAAGAAGGGCTTTTGTCAATCTGTGAACTAACTGAACTAAGCTGAATCTTAAAGGCAGGGAGACAACACAGATATCTCCTTGCATTTGACAATTTTACTAATGTTTTTATATCATTTGAATTGTGATCTGATATCCAGTATCTTGGAAAAAATACTAGTTGGGAAAGGAAGTGTTTCTAATTAGAGCTAGATGTTTTAGCTCAAGTTTTGAAGAGGTCATAGGATAAGGGTTCTTCTTTGACTAGGATGCGTGTGAATGCTTGTATTTCCTTGGGAGTGAACTTTAGTTCTTACCGTCAGCTTCGCTAAGGCACTTACTTCTCTGCAGGCAGTGAAGGCAGCAAAGATATGAATGGTTCCACTTTACCAAAAAGTAGGACTTGTGCGAGAGTGGTGTGAGTGGAAAAAGGACTGGAGCTTTCTGCTTTTGCCAGTCAGAAGGAGAAATGCTGTGCCTTAAACGAATCATTAAAATGCATTTTGGACACGTGAGATATGTTCATACTTTAAGGGAAAAAAAAAAAAGAAAAAGGAAAAAAACGCCAACACCCCCCGACATGGATCATAAACAAATGCACTGACCTTGAAAATAGGGAGGACATCACTTAAACTGAGGGGTGTCTCATTTACAGAAGGCTGATGAAGTTTTCTACTTGCAAAATCAGCTGTCACTGTGCCTTCCTTACAGGGACAAGAGTAGAGTCTTTGAGTGGAGGTTACAGTCTCTGATTCGAGATTGGATGCCTTTCTAAAATACTGTCCTGGTTCAGTCGTGGTCTAGATGTGGGAGTTGTAGCATGAGGGTTTTGAGCTTTTGTATGGGAGGTCAGACTGTGATTGTAAATTTCCCTCATCACCCTTAAATCTGCAAAAATACCACAAAACATAAGTGTAAAATCATATTCAGTTGAATATAGTGACTTTTGTGTCCTGTTTTATTTAAAAAGCGGTTGATCTGTCACTGTTGAGACTTATGAAGACAGGGAAGCTGGAGAGGGATAGTTGAGTTCTACAAACAGAAATGTTGGCTATTTAATTTAAAATATTCTATTATTTCATTCACAGTTTGAGCAATGGGAATAAAACATCTCATATATTACTACAGAAGAGTATTAATACAGGCTCAGAGTATCTTGATAGATGGTTTGTTAATGAAACTGGTGAGACTTTTGTGCTGTAATAAAAAAGTCTAAATTCAATATATTCCTTTCAGAACTTTTGCCAAAATAATCTTCTCTTTTTCTGCTATCATAGTAAATTGCTTAAATAGAAGACACATGTATATTAGCATTCCAGCTCGAGCTAGGGGCTAACATTGTGGCAGTATTTTTGTGGAGACAAAGTAATCTTATTGAAATTTGCTGTACAAATATTCTTCATCGAAATCAAAAGCTGTAAGTTCTGATATCCTTAGCCAAGCTGACATCAGCAAAGAATTTGATTAATCTTTTTTCTTGTTTTGCTAGAATAACCCCTACACCCCTAGGAGAGGGAAAAAGCACAGTCACAATTGGTCTCGTTCAGGCACTTACTGCACACCTTAACATTAATTCCTTTGCTTGTCTGAGACAACCTTCCCAAGGACCTACTTTTGGAGTTAAAGGTACGTAATATTTGCAGACTCTATGACCTCTTTCAGATTAAAATGAAATCATGCTCTTTTGCTTTTTTCTTTTTCTCTTCTTTTTTTCTCTTTTTTTTTGCTTTTTTTTTTTTTTTTAATTCCCTAGTTACTTCACTAACTCAATGGATTGTCTGAATGGTAGCATGTTGGATTTTTGGTAAATATATAACTAATAGATAAAAGTTTCTTGCACATGTCTTCCCGTGCAAGGTTCATGTGTATGTTCGTGTACTTAACGTGCACGGATAACGCAGACAAAGCCCAAACATGATGAAAGGCATGGGGATGAGTTATCCAGGAGGAGTTCTGTGTGAGTACACACCCCTCCAGCCACTCCTCTGCTTGGAGACTCTAAAGATGTCTCTGAATGTTACTGTTTAATTTTTCCTTGAGAAGGTGTCCTAAATCCGCCCATATCCATTTGAAATATCCAAGCTAAGGTAGTTGGCAGGTATGAGTATGGTTCAGCTGTGACCGCGTCATGCATTTGGCTAGGTCCGAACCTCCTCTCTCAGTTCCTCTGAGTTGTACACCCTAATCACGGGCGGCTGCCTTTTTACCTAGAGAGTGTGAGGGCCAGGTAGGAGCCAGCCAGAGTTCAAGCCTGTCTTCAATGCTGATAGGAAGTAATGCAATCTTTTTTTCTACCATTTCTCAGCTGAGGTTGGTGCCTAACTGGGCAAGCACTCCCCATCTGCTCTACTTTGCTTTGCTGAAGTTTAAGTTAACAAGTTTGATTTCAGCTGGAAGGCTCCTGGTGCTTGGTGCTTCTCAGCCAAGACTGGTGCACGTGAGTGCTTTAATCCCTCCACTCAGCTTGTGCAGAGGCTACAGCAGACTCCTTTGCCTGTGCCACAGGAGGCAGCGGGGAAGGAGCGCTCAGGCAAGAGTGCAAAGGTTTCATTCAGAAGCGGTGCTTGCTCGTGACTGCTGTGTCTTTCCATGCAACAGCTGCATGTGCATGACTGTGTCCTAAATCTGGGCAGGAGCAGAGGGCAACCCTTATCTACCCAAAGTCTGGGCCAGCCATCATGTGTAGGCTTTCCTTGCAGTTCAAGAATTCCCATCTTACTACTTGCTGAAAAAAGCCAGCAACTCTTGTTCATTTGGATGCATTATTGATCCCCTAATAGAAATTAAAATGCTGAGAAATGTATCAGCAACACTGTTTCACTTTGTGTCTTTAGGAGTAGTTATTTTGTTTTCCAAAATCCCTGTGAGTCTGATGTGACCATCTGCTTCCCTGTGCAGGTGGAGCAGCTGGTGGTGGATACGCTCAAGTGATTCCCATGGAGGAGGTGAGACAGCGGGGGAGGAAGCAAGTCCCTGTGCCTCTGGGACGGGTGGGCAGGCTGAGGTGGCCACTGCAGCACTCGGTCGGTGGTGAGGGTCTGCCTGGAGAAATGGGGTGGTCCTTGCCACCTCCACATTGTCCTTGCCACCTCTGCATGCCTGCTGTGTGACACGGAGGGGCTGTGAAGTGGGGGTGCAAAAACGTTGCACAGATCGTCATAGAGTCATAGAATGGTTAGGGTTGGAAGGGACCTCAAAGATCATCTAGTTCCAACCCCCCTGCTGCGGGCGGGGCCACCCCCCACTAGACCACGTTGCCCAAAGCCCCATCCAACCTGGCCTTGAACACTGCCAGGGACAGGGTAGCCACAACCTCTGGGCACCCTGTTCCAGTGCCTCACCACCCTCACAGTGAAGAATTTCTTCCTAATATCTGATCTAAATCGACCCTCCTTCAGCTTGAACCCATTACCCCTTGTCCTGTCACTGCACTCCCTGATAAACAGACCCTGACGAGCTTTCCTGTAGGCCGCTTCAGGTACTGCATACTGTGTACTGTGTTGGCTTCCAGAGCGTAAAACGCAAGCAGGTTCTCTGGGCAATGGGGCACATAAGGATGGTGTGGCTAAGCGTATGCGTATATTCACAGTGCTTGTTTGGAAAAGCACAAAGGTTTTACCCCAAAAGAGTCTAAATTAGAGCTCAGCAAAACCACTCCATGACCCGAACTGGTGCAGTACCACCGTGAAAGTGCACAGCTGGTCCAAACAGAGCCCTAATGCAGCGCTTAGCTACAGGTTGGATCCCCTGTTGCACGTGAGTGTGAGCACAGTCGAGGGCTTCTGCCAGTGCCCCTCCGCAGTCAGTGCTGCAGTGCAATTAAAACTGACCTTCTGCCTCCTCCTGTCAGAGAAATTGGAAAAAAATACAGTACCTACATAACACAAGTCCTAATCTAATCTAAACTGCTGATTTCAGATTTTTCCACAAAACGTTGGTGGATAAACTTTGTATCAGCAAAGTTCATGCCTGATCAAGTACGGGCTGTGCTCCCATGGCTAGCGGAAATCTGGCGTACATCCCCACAGCCAGCACGCACGGTGTGCTCCAGTGGATTCAGCAGAAATCTGCACCCCTGGGCCAGGTCAATTAGTAAATACTGACAGTAAACTGATTTAGTGTTAATGGTATGGAACTGTAGCCGTGGGCTTTTCATTCCTGGATCATCTAGCAAAGAATAAAGACGTTTGTGGCTTTGTTTGGCTAAACTAAGGGTAATTTACCATGTACTCAGGTGAAAACAAGTCCTTCATATTTCATATAGCTCGGTGTATTTTTAGCCTAATAATATTTCATCTGCACTGATAGGTGACTAATCGGAGCCGTAACCTCAAGGAGATAGCAATGATTCTTGTTGTTAATCTGTCTGAGATTACTAAATTGAGTTAAATGGTTTCGATTGTATTGTTTTCACCTTCTAGTTCAATCTTCATTTGACTGGAGATATTCATGCTATAACTGCTGCAAATAATTTGCTGGCTGCTGCTATTGATGCCAGGATCTTGCATGAGAACACTCAGTCTGATAAGGTGAGAATTATTTTCTGATAACCACATGACATTTTTTCTTTACAATTTTTCTATTAGCTGCATTTCAAAGCAAAATAAGTTGATTTTCTTTTTATGTTTTCACCATGTGAAACTATTGCTGAAGCCATTCTGTGTTCTGGGAAATTTTGCTTATAGAATATATTTTTCTGGCAAATAGCTATCGTAAGGTGGTCTTTAAGATAAGGATCTTATGCCCAGAACATTGTCAACTATTTCAAACTGTACTAGATAGTCTAATAGGAGATGGTTTATATATATGTATAAAATCTTAATCTTTTTAATAATTTGTATACTCCTTTGAATTAATGATTAATGGGGATGATATACATTAAGAAGAAGGGGCTGTGGGGAAAATAAACTAGATCCTCTTCCCTCCACTAAATCTGTTGTGACCTTAACGCAAATGCTAACTTGAGTCTTTAAGGGAAAGGAGAAAGTAAAGGAAAGAGCCTCCTTTTTTTTTTTTGGCTACAGTGTTAAAACTGAGCAGTGTTGTCATATCCCCTTTACGTGGTCCAACACAAATGTGTATTTAGGCCATTTTGCAAATGATACTTACAGTGTGAATAATTTGGACCTTGGTTAAAGTTTTAGAGCGCTCCCAATTTCAAAAGTGGGTTGTTGGTTTTTTGTGGGTTTTGTTTTTTTTTTTGGTGTAACATAGAAACATGGTAATTTTGGTAACTGGATTTAAACTGTTACATCATAGGCATTGCTCAAAAGCCTACCACCTTCGCAAAATTGTTTTTTAAATCGCTAAACAGAAGTCTACAGTTTATGTAGTTGGGAAATTCTTACTGAAATTTGTCTGAATAAAATAAAAACATTAGCTTTTTATTTAGCTGGATCCTGGTTGTAACTTTTTTTTTTTAACTTCTTGTCTGTTTTTTCTAGGCTTTGTATAATAGACTGGTTCCAGTAGTTAATGGTGTGAGAGGATTTTCTGCTATTCAGCTTGCCCGTCTGAGAGTAAGTTGCTAATGTAGTCTCTCCTCAATTATAGTATCTCTACGTAAAACGTACTCTCTTACACAACTTGTTTTAAATTATTTGATGTATGGGACTGCGTTTGTATAAACCTTCCTCATGAATTTATCAAGTCCAGGCTTTTTTCTGAAAGCATTGTCCTTGAAGTAATAGGATCTGGGTCTGATATTATTTTCATAACTATCATTTTTGCTCTTCTCCTGAAATAAACCAATAATGTCTTTAAATGCTATGTCTTTCCTGATGAAATATTAAAGTTAAGAGTTTTTAAAATACTTTTCCTATTATGGTAAAGTCACGTTTGAAAGCTCACATTCTTTGGTTTTGCAATATTTTCTGGTTTTGAAAGTTTATTATAGCATATACTTCTGGGGTTTTATTGATGTCAATTTGACAGTGTCTTTCGTCGAGGGGTAGAAGTACATTTGTGTGCATAGTATATTTTTGCATCCTATCTTGCTTCCTGAATGCTTCCAGAAGAGCTTCCTATGCAGTTGATGTAAGAATAATGTCTCTGCATTTGAGGCTGCCATTCTGATAAATACCTAGAGAGCAACACGGTCCACCAGCATAGGGGAAGGAGAATATGAACCCCCCTGAATATGACGCTTAAGGACAGCTTTGGTCTTCTACATCCAGTTCCATGTTTGCAGTTGGCTTTTGAATCCTGACCAGTGGTGTTTTAGAGTCACTGGATGGCAACAGATAGCTGCCAAGGGCACACTTGGAATTGGGGGATGGAAAGGAGGATAGAGGTAATATCAGCTTCTGTTTTGGCAGGGGGAGAAAAAAAAACCTCACAACATTTTAAGCTTTTGTGCTGCTCGTTTGAATGCCAGTAAAACTAAGATGTGAATGATGCCTACATGACGCTGCAGCAGATTAGGTCTCAGAATTTTCCATCAGAGTTTTGGAGTATTTTCATTTTGTCCTTGTTTACACTGTGTGTAGGGTAACAGGTAGGGTTTTGGTTATTCATGACACACCAACTATCTCTGCAGTTGAAATGGATTTCTCTGTCTTCACATGAGCTGTAACTCAGTAACAAAAAGTTTGGCTTTATAACATTTAAATGCATGCATTATAATTTCCAAAATAACTGAATTATTTTGCTTTGAATTATTTTTCTTATAATGATTCCTTATAGCTAAAAAAAAATCAAATACAAAAAATATCTTTATGGGATGGAGTTGCAGTTTTTTCAAAAGAGGATTATTAAGATTGAAACTCCTCCCTTACATGTGTGGTTTGGACTTGTAATTACAGAAGGTCCCATGCAATTTTTTTCTTTTTTTTTTTTTTCCCCCCCTTCAAACTGCTTGTCTAATGTCAGGAGCTGCCTTTCTCGTTCCCCTGCTCCTCAGCTTTTTTCCCCAGTAATTATTAGCCTAAGACCTTCTTACCTTACCTCCTCGCTTTATCTGCTTCTACCCCAGTCTTTTCTTTGTCTCCTTTTCCACATCAGCTCTGTGTCTCCCTCCTTCCCATCTGCATCCAGATCAGTCGGGCTTTCTCTTTCTGCTTAGATCCAGTATAGACATTGTTGAGACCCTGGGAGGGTCAGGCTGCTTCCTTGCAGTCCCAGTGCCCAGCCCTCCTTGCAGCAGTTGAAAGTTATAAAAATGACTGAAAATTTTGCTCTTTGGTAAAATGCTCTGGAAAGATATATCTGGGCAAATGCCTGATACACCAAGCAGGAGGGATAAGCACTGCCATCCCCCAGGAGAGATGCTGATGGGATATTGCTCCTTTCTCAGTCTGCATATTTTCATAGAATTAGTAAGAAACTATCTCCTGACTATGTCAAATTGGATTAAAATTGGCCAACAAATTAGAAAAACATTAATACAAGACTGGCAGTTGAGGATTTAAGCCTTTCTTCATTAAAACAGGGGTGAAAAATTTTAGAGTACCAAGTGTCAAAACCAAGCTGTTCTGAACAGTCTTTTGCCCTTCTCAGTACAGTGGGAAATGCCCCAGTGCCTGCATCTGGATTTGAAAGCATCCGTCACAGTCTGAGACACCAACCCTCAAAAAGGAGTGTTGCAAAACCAGTTTTAATATTTTCAAAAGATGTCCCCAGCTTTCTAGAAATAACTGCTGGTTTAAATAGTGAAGTAACAGTGGTACCTCATTGAAATTGAGTATTTTTAGACTTTTAGATTTGCTTTATTTTTAGTCCTGAAGTGTAAACATGTTCGTTAATTCACCAAGGAATCCTTTCTAATGCCAGAGAAAATTAAGATTTTTTTTTTTAAGGGTACAGTTCTTAAACACAGTTTCCTGATCCATCTTTCACAAAAAAAAAAAAAAAAAGGTGTGAGGTTGCTGAAATAGTGAATCTGTAAAAGCCAGGAGGTATTGGCTCATTCATTACAAGTGACTGATTTAATGGATGATGGGCTCTTAAAGCAGAAGTATTTATTTCATTCAAAGATGATTCACACAAGACAATGCATGGGTCTTTCAAAGATTTCCACAAACTACAGCAAGCAATTAATTATCTTTTTATTAGTAACTGATAATGTTGAATTTTCTCTTTGGTTTACCTTAAGAGTTTCTTATGTGTAAGAAAGAGATTGTTGTTTAATGGTCTATGAGTATTTCTCCTTTTTTTTTTTCTTTTTTTTTTTTTTTTTTTTTTTTCTCCATTTCCATTTGCCCCTATTTTTGAGGCGTTTTCCTGTGTGCCTTTTTTTTTTTTTAAATAGTTTTGGTCCTGACATGCTTCTTTCCAAAATGCTTACTGAAAGAGGAGGTGATAAGCCAGAGCAGCTATACCTTTTCAAGCAAAAAAGCCACTTCATTGTGTTTTTCTTTAACTCGTTTTTACATAGAGGCTGGGAATAAACAAGACTGATCCTGGGACTTTAACAGAAGAAGAGATCAGCAAATTTGTGCGCCTAGATATTGACCCATCTACCATAACATGGCAAAGGGGTATGTTGTCAGAAAGCCTCACTTCAGCTTGTATATAATCGTAACTTATTTCCTAATTTGCTCAATTTTACCTGAATCAGAGCTGTTTCTGCTCTCTGACTGTAAGAACAACTCATTTGCAAGTGGGTGCATAACAAATTTGGGTGCAGTATGTTGCTCTAAACTTGGTCAAATATCTGCAGTAACTTAAGAAAGTTTGCTAATATTCTGAAAGATAGGTTGCTCTGACAGTGTAAGTACATCCCATGTTTCTCCTATATTAGATAATACATCTTAAAACATACGAAAGTGGCTTTTCTGTGCATTTTACAAATCTTATACATTCTTTTCTTAACTGTGTCTATTATGGTTTTACATTATTTGTACTTAACGCTACTTGATTTAAGTCCCTCATCCTCCCCAGCTTAGCACTCTGGGTAGCTCAGAGACTAAATAGGTCTCAGGGATTATGTGTTTTTCCTATTTTTAAACTGTCTTGAGTTGTTTGCTTTGTTAGGAAGAAGAGGTGAAATATGTGGTACAGTTTCAACTATGTATGCCAATGTTGTTGTTTAACCCCAGCTGGCAACTGAGCCCCACACAGCCACTCACTCGCTCCCCTCCAGTGGGATGGAGGAGAGAATCAGAAGGGTAAATTGAGAAAACTTGTGGGTTGAGATGAAGACAGTTTAATAGGTAAAGCAAAAGCTGTGCACGCAAGCAAAGCAAAACAAGGGATTTATACCCACTTCCCATGGGCAGGCAGGTGTTCAGCCATCTCCAGGAAAGCAGAGCTCCATCACGCGTAACGGTGACTTGGGAAAACAAATGCCATCACTCCAAACATCCCCCCTTCCTCCTTCTTCCTTCAGCTTTGTATGCTGAGCATGATGTCATATGGTATGGAATATCCCTTTGGTCAGTTGGGGTCAGCTGTCCTGGCTGTGTCCCTCCCCAACACCTTGTGCACCCCCAGCCTCCTTGCTGGTGGGGTGAGGTGAGAAGCAGCAAAGGCCTTGGCTCTGTGTGAGCACTGCTCAGCAGTAGCGAAAGCATCCCTGTGTTATCAGCACTGTTTTCAGCACAAATCCCAAACATAGTCCCATGCTAGCTACTGTGAAGAAAATTAACTCTAGCCCAGCCAAAACCAGCACAGCCAAGCAAACCAATATGCACTCTCTCACACCCTTAGCAACTCCCCTGTGCATTTTCAGTTCTAGTGCTGGGTTAAATTTCAGTGTTTACCTCAATCTTTCTTTTTCTTTTTTAAGCCAGTAAACTCTGCATAAAGTTTTGAGCTAAATTCCGCTGGATTTTATTTTCTTCCTAAGTTCTCAAACACCAAAGTTATTAGTTTAAAATCATTGTTAAATGGAATGTATTGTGGTGGTCAGAGAAAAAAAGGTGAATCTATTGAGGAGTGAAGATTCTTGGCCGTGTTTTACTGTGCCCTTTGTGTGCATGTTATCTCTTGGGATATTTTTCTCAAGGTAATACTGGGGGATGTGGCATAAGATGTTTTTTATTAGTCACACAGTGTGCCTGGAAGAGACCTGTATTATGATGAAGGAGTAATATAAATATTTAGTGTAATATGACTCATCATTTTTATCAGCATGGTTTGGGAGGAGGCAGCATTACTCAACAGCTGTTAGCCTCAAGTGAGTTATTTAATTCATCTCAAACAATGTTAGTGAAACTTCTATTCCACGCAACTCTATATGATGTGCATATCTGAAACATTTCAGGAAAAAAGTTGGTCTTAGGAATGTTTTAGATAACTTGGAAAATGTTTTATTTGGGACTGTTTCTGCAATCCCTATGTCTGTGAAGCTTGTTACGTACCAGGGAGTTTCTAGGGCAGAAGAGAAAGCTATCGGATTCTCTGAAAATTAACTTTAGTCAAGACCTGTTTCCTTAGAAGTGTCATTGTCACCTTATACTAACTTGAACAGGTACAACTTACTGCAAAGAAGGAAAGCTTCCGCCTACTTACCCTTCCCTTGGTATTCAGATCCTGCTTATAACTCAAGAGGATGAGGAAGTAGATACATTAAACCTAACACTTGGTTGAACCTAAACTTTCCTGAAACATTTAGTTTGGGTAAGGAAGAGGGAGAATTTGGAGAAGGAAAAATTGCTTTTGTGGCAAAACCAATTATTTCTTATTTTACTACTTCTAAGGGCAGCTATTGGAATCTTCCTGGAGAATGAATTCTGACCATGGTGAGAAAGCCAGTGTATCCTGGTGACTAGAAGGAGTTGCAGAGGTAGTTGTAGTTTCATGGTAAGGCTGTTCAGGTTACATGACTTCACTAGTCACTGGCTGTCCAGGCTGGTGGGAAGGCTAGGTCGTGCTCTCAGCAGTGTTGGCTAGGCAGGACAGACATTTAGGTTTGCTTAAGACTGAGCTTCCTAGGAGGAGAAGCGGTAAATTTGTGCTTGAGAGATCAGCTTGCCATATGGCTTCACGGTGGCATACAGTGCCACAGCTTGGTATGAGGCTACTGCTTCCATGTATCGGGCTCTGTTCTGCAATTTCTGCCAGAACTGTAGTATTTTAGAGTATGACTGTATATAAATAGAAAGCAAAATGAATTAACCAAATCTGTGTTGCACCATACCTTAAATGGGATTCCCGAAGAAGTTAGGGACCTAAAAACCATGTAGTGGGAAGAAGGCGCATATGGTATTTACAACAGCCCCACGAGAAATGCCTGAGAAGGGGAAGTGGCTTAAACTTGCCTTTTTTTCCAGCTCACTCGCAACCCCAAAATGGGGTTATGTAGGATTGAGATTCAAAGTCCCTCTTGTTCTTGGGTAATTATATTGTCCTTTTCTATACAGACAAATTTGTTAATCTCCAAAAGCACCAGGAAGAGCAGAGGAGGTGATTTCACTGACCTTCAGTACAGACAACTTCTCCAAAGGTTCTTGATTGTCTGCTTCTAAATGAACAGGGCTCAAATCTACATCTACCAGAAGATTGACTTGATTGCCAAACTATAGGCTGAACTGATCAAGAATACCTTCGACCCTTTCTTTTAGGGTTGGTGCAAATTGAAACATTTCTAGGGGTAAAGAGCCCATAAGAAAGAGGACACTTATTTTTGCACTCTGTAGGGATTGCCATTCCTGGGAAGGAGAAGTCTTGGACTTTGGTCTCGCTTTCTAACAAACAGAAACATCCTCCTAATGTTTCTTCCTAAGAAACATCCCGAT